AGGGCATGAGGGTCAATTTGCATATTACCACTTTATTATATAGGATGGTTTGCTCTTATGATGTCTAAATCTCTGTTCTCTCTGTAGTGATAAGCTCCTTTTTATTTCCAATATTACTATCTTCTCTCATAGTTTATTTTCTGCCCCAATCAATAAAAATACAAGTCAATCCATTTGACCAGTTTTTTAAAAAAACTACCATTTTTCATAGTTTTGTTTCTCTTCTATTTGATATACCTCTGTTTGATATTTCCTTCTTTATTGAATTTATAATTCTGTTCTAATACTTATTATTACCTTCTTTTAAAAAATATTGAGTTTTCTAACTTAAAATTTTTTTTCATGTTTTTCTGAGTCTCTTAAAAATAAGTAATTACTCCTCCTCCTTTAAACACTCTAAGTAAAAACCATAAGTATAATAGCGTTATCACATTTTAAAAAGTTAAGTGATTCCTGAATAGTATCAGATATCCAGTCAGTGTTCAAATGTCTCATAAACATTTCACAGTTAACCCTGAATCTGGATCAAAATAGTTCATACATTGCAATTGGATATATCTTATCTCTTTTAATTTATGAGTTTTCCCTTCTATCTAGGTCATTCTTCCTGCTAAGTTCCCCATAGTCGGGATTTTGCTAATCGAATCCCCATGGTGTCATTTAACATTTTCCTCTAGCCCTTGTAAATATTAATAGTTAGATCTAGAGCCCTGATCAGATTTAGGTTCAATTTGTATGTGTGTGTATGGGGGAAGGTAGAATACTTCATAGGTGGTTTTTCTTTCCTTTGTAAGATAGATGTTCCCCTCATTATTTTTTACTCTTCTCTTTAATATAAGAGCTACAATTTCCTAATAGTAGCTCTCATGCTTTCATTTTCTCTACTGTCTAGTATTTGCAAGATTCCACTAAAGGTCCATCACGTTACACAGCTGTGCCCTCAGGTGTGCTTCCCTAGGACAGAGGAGCAGGCGTGGCAGTTTGGGACGCCCACATCGGAGCCGAATGTTCTACTCGCACCTATAAACCCCGACCTCCGGTCCCCTCCTGTGGGACATGCCCGCCGCCCGGACCCTGCAGGGTGTGCTCACATTGTGCACATTCGGTGTGCTGAGGCTCCTCCGCAGGTGCCGGGCTTTGGTGGAAAGTGCTTCTTTGACTGTGACTGCCTGTAAATTTGGAAATAATATTATTTTCTCTCCTTTGATGACAAAAGCAACACATGTTTATTGTGGATGACTTAGAAATACAGAACTAAAGATCATTTCAATTCCACACACGCTCCCCCATATTTACAAAACTGGAAACTTTTTGTACCCACTAATTTTTTTTGCTTAATCTATCAAAAATATTTTTCATAAATAAAACCAGGAAAATTGCTGAATTAAAGAAATTTATGTGTTGTCAAATTTTTTATAGATTAGCAGAGGAAATGTAGAAGAAATACCTTTAACTATATATTTTGTCAAAGTAACTTTTTTCTAATGAGACCGCTACTCAAGTGTTCCTTCTCAGATAGGTATAGAGAGAAGGTGTTTGGTAAATAAATTCATCTTTGTCCATTTGCAGTGAAGACTGGTGACTCAACCTCTGGCCCAGTTACTTGCCTGCCGGAGCCGCTCAAGGCTCAAAATGTTCTCCACCTGCAGCACGCCACGCGTGTACTTCTCAATGTACGTTTCTCCATCTGACGTGCCTTCGTTTTCACTCCTTGCTGCCATGAGGGCCAGTGTCTCCCGGTCCTCAATCTCCTCTGTTGCCTAAAGTGACAAGAAGACAATTATAATACTTCTAGATGAACAGTATATTTTTTTCATCAAGACTCTGGTGAGAAAATGATTTAAAAGTTTTGAGAATGAACATTTTCCAGTACTTAACATTGCGATCTTTTAAAAAAGTAATATATATTTTTACCTTTGGTATATTGGATACTATTTCATAGGTTACACCGCAGGAATAAAATATGTTTTTCAATGACATTCTCCTCTTCAAACTCTGGGTGAAACTCTGGTAGAAAAGGAAAACTGAATGAAGTGATCTGAAAATATAAGTTATTTAGTTTTGTATAAATTGTAAAAGCATTACCAATCACTGTTTTTGATACACCCACAATACTCAAAATAGAACAATAACAAGAGAAAAGGAATAGAAAAAAAAAAAAAGAAAAAAAATCTGTGTCCACCCCTGAAGCACAATAATGTCCTGCTATTATTTGGGCAGAGTATAGAATTTGCAGCCTCTCAGGGTTTTCATTGTGGTTGCTTCTCTCTCCCATTTGCTGCCTTTCTTCTGATCATGCCAAGGTTGAATCAGTCTATCCTGGCACCATCAGAAGAAAACTGGACAGGATCAGTTTTGTGGACAGTGCCTCTGAGTTGAGACCTGGGGAGGCATTCGGATAGGGATTTATTTGGGGCCTGCATTTTGTCCTGCTTTTGTCACTAATCCTTTTGGACCTGGTGCTTAACCCTTTAAACAGTAAAATCTCATAGCTCCATTGCCTGCTAGGATTATGGGTCTCAAATCGATCAAGGTGGAAAGTCCTTGTGGATAACATTAACTTTGCTATCCTCAGACCCCACTATTTTGAATAAATGAGAATCAGACTGTAACGTGGCCAGTATGGTAACAATCTGCACATCCACTGTGTTAACATCACAAACACTACTTTGTGATAGAAGGGATAACTTTGAGCTCATCTATGCAACTGCTGAATCAGGCCCCGTACTACCTGCTTGTTGTAAATATTGGCTGCAATCCGTTTTCGTAACACTAACTCCATGGCAGCCGGGTGGCTGAGCTGGACTGTGGTCTTCACTATCAGGTAAATCCTTTCATTCTGGGGAGTGACCCTATTCAAGTGAACAGAATCATGCACCGAGGAGTCCCAAGAGGCTATGGCTGAAACCTAGAAAAGGGAGAAGGATGGAGAGATGGAAACAAGACACAAGTCAGGTATATCACCCACTAGAGCAGCGATTCTCAACCTGTGGGTCGCGACCCCTTTGGCGGTCGAACGACCCTTTCACAGGGGTCGCCTAAGACCATCCTGCATATCAGATATTTACATTATGATTCATAACAGTAGCAACATTACAGTTATGAAGTAGCAACGAAAATAATTTTATGGTTGGGTCACAACATGAGGAACTGTATTTAAAGGGCCAGAAGGTTGAGAACCACTGCACTAGAGAAAGAAAATAAATGCAACTCAACTGAATAATATTGTCCTCAACCACAAGTTTTATTTTTTTAAAAGTTCCCAGTCCTCCTCCCCAAAGCAGACCATAGGAGTTTAATGGGAAGACAGGCCCACAGGTACATGAAGCCCTTAAAGAGAACTGTAGGGATCAATTACCTCCTCATCACTGTGCTTTATGATGGGCAGGTAGAAAAACTGGCTGCCATGCTCCTTGGGCAGGATGGAGTTCACGCCCGAGGCATGGGGGCCAACAAGCTGTTCATTGGCACTGAGGTCATCCGCTAACCAAGACCAGGGCACAGAAACAAAAGTGGGGGGAAAGTCAGTTTTTAATTAAGACCAAATAGAAGTTTACATGTAACACGTTCAATTTTTCTTTCATTCCTTATCCTGCAGTTGATATAGACTCCAATACTCCTTCACAATCATGTTTATTCTTTACAGACTCTACTGTGGGGCCAAAAGTTGCCTTTGTGAGTCTCCTACCAAATGAACTGAATATATTCTATATGTAGTCCAAGGAGCAAATATTTTTATTACATATATACAACTTAAAATTTTGCTGGTTTCTGATACCAATTCCTCCTGTAACCTAGTGTTAGGTTTGTTGTCCTACTTATGTAACTTAGACTAAATTAGATTTAGAGAAGTTCAATTATCAATTTAGAATCAAAGTCCTGAGCACTTTGGAGAAATCTGATAATCTTCCAATGTTGTACCAAAGCGGGATTCACCCTTCACAAATCTCTGTAAGCGGTCATCCAGTTTTTGCTTATACACCTCCAATAATGGGGAACTCACCACTTCATGAGGCACAGTCTACTTTTAGGCTTTTAAAAAATTCTTCATATGAAGAGCCAAAGCCAATCTCCTCATGTCTGCCATCCATCCATTGTTGGACGTCCCTCCAGAAGAGAGGTTTTGAGGCTGTGTGCTGAGGATCCCAATGGCCTTGCACAAGGGCTTGCCAGAGCCTCTCTATCCCCAAACTCAGCAACTCTGCTTTTGTTTTCTATGCCTGGGGTTCCATTTAAGACTTCATTGTGAAAATGGATTTTACTATTAAAACATATTAAAAACCACTGTTCTAGATTCACCCAGTTTTGATCTAATTGCTACAGTAAAGGACAATTCTAACGTAGGGGGACTGTCATGTTCTGGTACCAACACCACTGTGGTGGGAGCAAAGGACACTAGTCAGAAATGCAGATGCCTACTCCCTTGCAAAGCCTAGAGATTCAGAGTCTCTGAGGGTGATTATTTTCTCAGGTAATTTCCATGTCTGTTAACATTCCAGAGCAATAACTGCAGTAGTGTTTCTGTATGAAGTTCTCAATCTCTCTTTTAAAGATTAAATATCCACACCTTTCTTCCAATGCTCTACATGTCATGGCCATATACATTTAGTTGGACTAACATTATCACCTAGATATGGCATATGAGTAATTAGAAAAGTGATTCAATAAGGATCAAAATCATGTGGGTCCGAAGAGATTACAAACCTTAATTAAATGTGATAACCCCTAGACAGTTAGGGGTCTACTTACCGTTCAAATCAAGGAAGAGAACTGGTATGTGAGTTTCCATTCCAGGTGGAGGGATCCTAAATTTAATAACAAAATTTAATCACAACCAAATATGTGTTTTACATCTTGATAGGTAATCAGACAGCACAGAGGCACAGATGCAGAGGAGAACCATGCTCTTGGAGATACAGGTTCCATTAATAAAATATTTTCACATTCTTGTCATTTCTATTAACACAAACCATGGGAATTGTGTGACTTATATAAAGAACTACCAGTTGTGTATATGAATTACATGTAATTAACTGAGACAAAGATTATTTGAAGCCTTTCAAAAAATAATTCTAGTGATGGGGAAAAGAGAAGGGGATGTTGTTACAGTGGGAATAGGGGACAGGATCAAAGACCAGAGAAAGTATACAAAAGAGACAATATTCAAAAGCTCAAAGAAGGAGAGAATGAAAGATGGAGGGAAGGAGGTAGAGTTGTGTGCAGGAAAGACCAAAGCTGTGTTTCATCAAAAACTTGCCCGTGCATCGGAGTCAGCTTGGGGGGTGGGGGTGGGAGGCGCTCTTAAAATGAAAGTCCTGGGCACATCCTTTTTCTTCCAAATCAGAATAATTAGGAAGGGGAACAGGACTCTACATTTACAAATGAGGTAAAACAGTCTAAAGGGGGCCTCAAAGAGCATAACACAATGGGACTGGGCTGGCTGTTTATCACAAGTGGTGCCACACGCTGCATGTGACCTATAGGATTCCAGCACAGAGGAAAATGTGCAGGGAGAAACATCAGATTAAAAATTCTGTGCCTGCAAATTCAAAACTTCTAGTTACATAATCCCATGAAATCAATTACACTTCCATTCATCATTACAGACACAAATAACATCATTAATGTTTCTGCGCCTATCCAAAAGAGATGATCTGGCATGTGTTCAAAAGAAATCCGATTTCTCCTAAACGCCTAGGATATATTCTTATGAATAAGAATGAAAATAAGCAGCAGCAGCAGTTACCCTTTAATGAATGGGCCCTATAAACAACATATCCTATATAATAAAGAGGTAATATGCAAATTGACCATCATGCCCTCACACAAGATGGCTGCCCCCATGTGGTCAAAGATGGCCACCACAAGATGGCTGGCAGGGGAGGGCAGTTGGGGGCGACCAGGCTGGCAGGGGAGTGGTTAGGGAGTGATCAGGCTGGCAGGCAGAAGCGGTTAGGGGCAATCAGGCAGGCAGGCAGGCAGGTAGGCAAGCAGTGTGGAGCCAGCTGTCCCAGATTGTGAGAGGGTGCAGGCTGGGCTGAGAGACCCGCCCTCCCTAGGGGTCCCTGATTGGAGAGGGTACAGGCTGGGCTGAGGGACCCCCCACCCCCACCTGCAGTGCACGAATTTCATGCACCGGGCTTCTAGTTTTGTATATATTATCTCTAATCTTCACAACAGTATCATAAAGGTAGTCCCATTAATGATTAAGAATGAAGCCTCAGAGAAGGTAAGTGAACAACACTTAAGAGCTATAGCTGGAAACCATATCCAGATTTATTGGACTGCAGAGTTGAGGATATCACCCTGTTTCTTTTTTTTTTTTTTTTTATTTTAAATTTTATTGATTTTTTACAGAGAGGAAGGGAGAGAGATAGAGAGTTAGAAACATCGATGAGAGAGAAACATCCATCAGCTGCCTCCTGCACATCTCCCACTGGGGATGTGCCCGCAACCCAGGTACATGCCCTTGACCGGAATCGAACCTGAGACCTTTCGGTCCGCAGGCCGACGCTCTATCCACTGAGCCAAACCGGTTTCGGCCACCCTGTTTCTTATGAGCATGAGGACTGACATATCAATCGATTAATTGATTGTAGTTTAGATATATCTTCTGCCCTCTTTGACTACACCCTGGAAACACTCTTCTTTTGAGGCGAAATTAAGAGAATTTCTGGAGATCAGGACACTACATCCAAGTTGCTCATGCAGAGGAACTAAGGAGTGTGGTATTAGATTCCTGGCCAGGTAATAAATGCTCCCTGGCTTCCTGTGAGAGGAAGTCATCTGCGGTAGGGAGGAAAAAATGGGAATGTGGCACTGGAGACGGGTGCCCCTTCCCTGGGCAGCTCATGCTGTTTAGCATTTCCCGTGATAATCCGGGAAAGTCACTTGCGTGACTCCTGCCACAGGCCCTCTGAACCATCCTGTCAGACCTGCACTGATGGAAGGGTGGACTTACCAGTCGGCAGGTGCCCCGGGGATCCCACTGCCTGGGGCTGGCACCAGCACTGCATTCCTTTCCTCAGTCAGCCCCACCCACTGCTCCACAAGCCGGGCTTCCCGCTCCACTTCGTCCTCGGTTTTCTCTGTGGGGCAGAATGAGGGAATGAGTACCAAGAACAGAAAAAGTACAATTTCTACATTTAAAATAGATGAGTACTTGGTGATATCCATACATGGCTTGAACATCTGCCATATCACAAAGGATTTGAGGCTTTAAAGTTCAAGCCTGAGCACCCAGTTGGGCTTGGAGAGGCTAGGACACTAGCTAATGAACCACAAACCTGGAGAGTAGAAGGAGCATTGGAACAGAGATTAAAAGACATGGGTTATTTTACTGGTTCTGTAAAATTTGAAGAAGTGATTCAATAGATAAGTCTAGTTTCCTACTCTTTCAAAAAGGTATAATCAAGCCGTATCTACTTCATGCACTTGTTGGAACGATCAAATAAAATGATGGATGTGACATTGCTTTATAAAAACTATACACCATTTTATATAGAGAATTAAAGAATACCATATGCCGCACCCTGCAAAACTAACTTTATTTTCCTTCATATTCATTATGAAGAGATTTTATTTGATACATTTTGAAATCCTCTTTCCTATAATACAACTCTGGAACTACGGGGACATAGTGAGTTTTCATGAGCAGGTGGAGCACATGCACAAAGGACGCTATGAACGTTGAGCCAAGACGTTGTATTGGGGGAGAATTTTGGCTAACTTCTTCATGAAGGGGATTAAGTGTGATGTGTTCTTTGGTGCCGAATCATCCGCAATGAGTAAATCATAAAGTGAGGATGTGAGACTACGGGTTTCAAGAGCATATTTATACTCTGAAATCCAGGAGGCAGTTGCCAGCATAAGCGGACTGCATTCTTGGAGCTCAGGCAGTGGCTGCAGCTGCAGCCAGCTTTGGCTGAGTGCATGGCTACCTCCCAACAGTAGCTGGGGCTGACCTGCCAAAGGCTGTGCTTTTAGAAGTGACCCTTTAGCTGCTGTCAGTTCCATGTTCTGAGCCTGAAGTAGCTCATTACTGAGTTATAGTATTGATCATATTTGCATTCATCAAAACATAATTTCAGTTTAACATTTAATATCACAGTTAACTCAGAGTTTTATAAAGATATATTAATTTCAAACTCAGAGCCTTCTTAAGCTAACACTGTACAATATGAATTGTTATAAGGTTAAAAACTAAGATACAATTATCCAACAAAGGGAAGAAAGCAACCCACTGCAATTATCTACAAGTGAAAAAGCTACTCCCGGGAAAGAGTTTAATCTCACATACCTTTTTTATTGCTGATTTTTTTAATCTGTTCATCTAAGTATTCTCGTCGCTTAATGAGTGCATCAGACCACCTCTCTCTTACACAGTTTAAGTCTTCTTCCTGACATGAGGGAAGGGAAGCATTTTTCTGTAAAGTGCATAAACAACTAGTATTTCTTTAAAAAAAAAAAGATGTTTCATTGATTAGAACATTTTCATTAGGAAAGGCCATTGAACATTGCTGTGTGATTAATATGCAAGAAAGCAAAGAGGCCTTACAAACACTGCATGCTGATCGAGAATCCCGTTACTCAGAAATCAGAGCCCAAGATTTTCCAAAAGGATAATTGTACCTAAAAGCAAGAGAGACTCAAACTACACCAGCTGTTGGATGATTCCTACATGGTGTGTGTGTGCTTGTGTGTGCTGAAGCTGTAGCTATTCATCTGAAAGATTTGCAATTCTCAGCTGAAGGACACCACGAACAGAGCCCAAACCATGTAACAGCAAATGGAATGGAAAATGACAGGTATTTTCATAGTTCACAGTTCAATGGCCTGATGACCTGTATTTTCTGAAACGCAAAGGATGATCAGCAGAGAACCTTCAAATTTGCCCCTACCATGAGGTAACAAAAATCTCCCATGCAAAAACCCAACATGCAGTCAGCCATGCTCTCAGAACTCCCAGCAGCAAGCCAATGGACTTCACGTGTATACGTGGCAGGAAGCGCAGACAGCTGCAGGAGTGAGTTAATGGTGTTGCTGAGATCCAAGGGGATCTTTCTCTTATACTTTGTTTTTGCTTGCTTGTTTCCTTTCTTAGTAAAATTATGATGAGGGAAAGAACCCATAATTCTATTCAAAATGTGCTAACTTGCTTAATTCTAATCTAACCCTTAAGACATTACATTCAGAGCAGACACCTGCAGACTTCTGAGGCTCTACCTACAATGCACACACATGTTAAGCACAGGAAGGCACACCAGGAAAACATGCTTTTGAAGTTTATGTGGAGAATTAATAGAGAGAATGGGAACCAAACCCCAAACAGTCCATCCTAGTTTGCTGCCTTGACCACTGCTATTATTGCTCATTCCATGATAGCAGGTCAGTCAGCGATGACTGGGTAAAACCTCACATTTGCATATATTAAAAAGTTGAGATTTAAATTCTCCAGGTTATAGGTAACTAAGCTTGGCCTTAATGAGAGAAGAAAACTGACTAAACAAAACAAAACTGTGTGCATAAAATGTCTTCAATTTTCTTAGCCAACAAAAGTCTCTTAAAGTAAAATGGCATATTAAAACAATACTACTCTCTTGAATGTAAGGAGCTAAGTGTAGTTTCTCATAGGAAAGACAAGAATCTACTTAGAGAACATGGATGGATAACTGCACAAATTTTAATGTCACCAATTTAATACAGCAATCATGGTCTTGCTTAGAAAGGCTTTATAAGCTAGTAATTTGAGATGGCATAGCAAAATAGCAGTATTTGGTTATAAATTTTAAGCTGACAGAGAAATCTATATAGAGGCAATATTGTATCCCTGATTACATTTAAAGCAAATCAAAAGCAAGTGAAAAACTGCATTTTCTTGCTCTACGCTCCTCCTTCCTCCTCCCTGCTCTCTGCTTTGCGGGTGCTGGCAATTAGCAGCAGCTGTGCCCCATGCCACAGGATTGACGGCAGCAATACCTGATAACTATCCATATCATCACCATCCTCATCATCTCTCTGGCAGGAAAAAAAATAAACACAAAGGACATGCATTTTGTTTCTCAAACAGCACACTTAAATAATTCTTTAAGCTTAACACACACATTACAATGGACAGCATACACATCAGCATCATAAAACATTTAATTGAAACTCAAAAAGATTTAGTAGATTTAATTAACTTGTCTATAATTACTTAAGAAATTTAAGTTTAAAAAAATAAAGAAAGGAGCCCCGCTGATGTGGCTCAGTGGTTGAGTGTTGACCCATGAACCAAGAGGTCACTGGTTCGATTCCCAGTCAGGGCATATGCCTGGGGTTGCGGGCTCTATCCCAGCAGGGGGCGAGAAGGAGGCAGCCAACTGATGATGTTTCTCTCTCATTGATGTTCCTATCTCTCTATCCCTATCCCTTCCTCTCTAAAAATAATTTAAAAAAACATTAAAAAATAACAAAGAAAGGAATCATTTAAAAACAAGAACTCTCTTAGATGGGACTACCTGCCTTACTGCATTGTTATGCAAATAGTTGCTGTGTATTTGTGGGTGAGCTATTTGAGATTTAGAGTAGGTTTAGAAACACAGAATGACAGAGAAAGGACTTTAGAGATTCCATGGCTTGGCCTTTGAGTTTTAGCCAAGAGGCAACTAAGGCCCAGAGGATGAAGTGATTTAATGCAAAAACCACACACATAATGATAGGGGCAGGCCTGTAGTCTCCCACATCACCACACCACTCTCACTGATGAAATCATCACAGTGAAAGCTCACTGGGGAACCTAAATCTATCTACATTCAAGGTTCTGCACCAGACTACTGCAATAAAAGCAAAGGCCACTATTTTAAATATACGGATCTATCATTATTCACTATTGTGTATATCACCCTCCATACCAAACAGCTGAGAAAAATCAGAACTGTATTGAACCCACAGAACTGTTTATAATAATATAAAATAACAATTTTGGCAAAAACACTTGTCAAAATAAAATCACAGTGTTGAAAATAAAAGAGTTTTAGTTGAGACAATTTTCCTAAAAATAAGAATACGTAATGAAATTCCCATTTGTAGAGAATATTCATCCATATGGCAGGTTCTATTCAAAATGAATACTGGGTCATGTAATAACTTTCTTTCATTTTTTTTCTATGGTTACTGGAAGGTTAGTATTCAAATAGTGGTCTAGTCATAAAAAAGACAAACTGTTTTTTTTCAAGTTTAAAAACATAATTAATTATCCTCATAACCTAGGTATATTTCAAAATATACTGCTACTTAAAAGTGCTTTAAAAATAGTTAAAATTATTCTCTGTCTAGACTTAAAAATACACTTTGTTTTAATTTGGCAACCACCATTATTATTTGTGTAAGTAATTCATTAAATGCAAGCCAAATACTGAAATAAGTTTTCTTGAATTAACTCCTCATATTAATGAATCATTTATCATTATTTTTTAGATATAGGAGATACTGAAAACTAGCCTGAGCTTCTATGGTGGATAACTGTTGTGACACCAACATATTCTGGATTGGCCTGAGCTACTGAATCAGAAAACTTCTGAAGTATTACATCAACAACAAAAAGTTACTGGATATGTCCTTGATTGGACATGGCAGTAAAAATAAATAAATAAAAGCTTTAAAATAGCCACAGTTTAAATTTGCATGACTGGTACTAGGCTCTTTAAAAAGAACAACATTTAGTATTGGAGAAAGGCTGATATTTGAGAGCTTAAATCTTGACAAAAATCAGTTTTAACTCAAGAGGTATAGCTGTTTTACAAAGTGCAAATAAGCAATCCTTATAATATTCCTAGAATGGGGCATTTAGTCAGTTGATATTCCATATTCTGTAGGTCACAGTTTAGGACACACAGATTCAAAGTTTTATTTAAGATCAGAAACTTGTTAAGCCACAAAATTTTACTGCAGAAAGGGAGCTCAGAGAATTAATAAGTCTACCTCATCATTTTGAAGAGAAAAAGGGAACTTTTAAAAATTACCCAGTCAAGGTAACTACGCAGGAAGGCCAAATTAGACTTAAGCACACAGGTCTCCCTACTCTAATGGTTTCTACGAGGCCCTGAGGCCACCCCAAAGTTGACAGCCAAGTGAGGGACTGAACTGGGATGAGAATCCAGACAGTCCAATTCCCTCCTCTACACACAAGGAAAAGACTGTCCCCAGAGTTTCACTCTTACTCTCTCTCCCCCAGGCCTTGGGAACTCTGGCCTGAGATAGGAAAGCAGTGTTTAACAAAGTTATTCTTCCCTTAAGGCCGGTGAGTCGAAGAATGTTCTTTTTAGCTTCCAGAAAAGTCTTTGCCTGAATGCCATGAAACCAAAAGGAAAGGGCGATAGAAGGTGAATCATTCTTGGGATGGACTGGGCGTACACCCAGACACCACAGAGAAGTGTCCCCTCCCTCTCATGTCAGGGACAGTGCTCCCTCTCAGGTGACAGTGAGGGAGCCCCAACATAATGGTCGATTTCTCCCAGTCCCTAATTCATACCTGAGAATAAACTGGGGAGTTGGGGAGGCACTGCCTTCCTTCAGGCCACTGGGGACCATTTCCTAATCTTAAAGTTTCTTTTCTTTTTCTTTTCTTTTTAAGGAATATAACATTATTTAATAAACAGATCTAAAAAGAAAACAATGACTTTTATACAACACCACTCAGTCATATATTACATGTACAAAATCTATTAAAGGTGGATAAACCTCCCAATATTTAGAGACAATTAAAGTTTATTTTCAAGGAGTACTCCGGTAATATGAAGGTCAATTCCTAGAGGTTTTTATCTTTTAATTTTTAAAAATGAAAACACAAGATTTAGCAAGTGGAGAATTAACGGACAAAAATGATCAGGACAAATTTTAATTTTTTTTTTTTAAAGAAAGCTTTTAAAGAACTGATTATTTATGCCAGTGTATGGGGGCAATTTTATGTTAATAAAAGTGGATCAGGCCAGGCAGCAATGTCAAATATCCAACATAATTTGGACCAAATGTAAAATAAAACCTGCCTAAAATAAATGAATACTGTAGCATTAAAATGTATATTTATGAATAAAGTAATTATTAATCAACACTAAGCCAATATTGTATTTTAAATCTAGAAAAAGGGCAATGGATGGAAATATGAGGGCAGGGACAAATAGATGGTTAAGGCAAGGAATTCTGTTGTATTCCCAAATAGGTGTCTCCATCACAGATCACAAACTTCCTTAATTCTGCATTAATCAATCTTTGTTAAATACTGTTTCAAACCTGTTGGTCTTACCTGGTAACTGTCCAGCCCTCTTTGGAGCTTGGTGGACCGGGCAGTCACACAGCCAATAGATACTGACAGGATGGCTTCAACCATAAGTGGCAGTGTCCCTGAATGCTGTACAGGTTTTACTGTGACTTGCACTCTCCGGGAATGACCCTGTAGAGGTGAGGGTGCCATGAGGGAGTGATGTGGAAATGGGTGCCAGGAATGGGAATGGGGAGTGAAGGGGGAAGAGGATAAAGGAAGGGAAACAAATTAGGGAACAAAGAGTCAAATAATGCAAAAATTCCAGAGACTGTGTGCTAGCATGGGACAAAGAAACCATGAGACAAAAACCACCTTAGTACCTGTCTGAGCTGAAAGATGCCTCCAGTGTTGACGTCTTTCGCCTGGTGAAGCTCCACTGCAGCATATTCCCCTAACTCATTCAGTTCTAATATGGAGATCCACATTTCTATTCTGCGAGTCACTTCATTCCACCTGCAGAACGCATTCCAACATACAACACTCTCATTGCCCAGGGACTCTATTAGGAATAAGCCACCGTTCACTGACCACTTACTATGTGTTAGGCACTGTGCCATGGATATTGCATACACTATTTTCTATTAACTCTCAAAACCTTTTGGTTTTCATTCTTTATATTTTATTGAGGTATAACTTACATTCAGTGAAATGCCAGATCTCAAGCACAGAGTTTGATGAGTTTTGACAAATGCATACTTCTGTGTAAGTTATCCCACCGTTAACCTCAGAAAGTTGCTCTTGCCCCTTCCCATTCACCCTACAACCACCCCTCCCTGCAGCAGCCATGTAAGCTCATAGATTAGTTTTGCCTTTTCTAGATCTTCATATAAATGGAATCGTGTAGTAGTATATACTCTTTTAGTTCTGGCTTATTTGGTTCTGCATGTTTTTGAGATTCAGTTAAATGGGTGGCAATAGTCTTTTTTAAATTTCTGTGTACTATTCTACTATATGAATACTACTACAATTTGTTTATCTATTCTCACATTAAAGGACACTTGGATTATTTGCAGTTTAGGATATTATAGAGTTGCCATAAACACTTGTGTGTACAAGTCTGCTTGTTTTCATATTTTTGGGTAAATACCGAGGAGTGGCATTGTTGGGTCATAGAACAGGCAAATGATTAACTTTACAAGAAGATATTCTCCTGTTTTCTTCTATAAGCTTTACAGTTTTATATTTACGGTGATGTAGTTTTGTGTATGTTGTGAAGTAAAAATCGAAGTTTTTTTTCCCCATATTGATATACAATTTTTCAGTCTTGTTTGTTGAAAAGATTTTCCTTTCCCCACTGAATTTCTTTGTTGCCCAGTAGTTCCTTTGATCATTCTCGTTTCACAAATGAGGAAACAGGCTCAGAGAATCCGTTTTCTTAACTATTGTCCAAGTGCTACTCTTGGCCCTGTGTCTGAAGCTCACAGGAAAGTACGAACCTGTCATGCAGCGTTCTTGTCTTAGCATGAAGAGAATCCACCTCCCAGATGGAGCTACCGTTTCCAGCACACCGGTGGCCCCACACTTCAATCGCCAGCGCTCCATCTGAAATGAACTCCAGGAATTCCTCGGTTACGTTCACCACATAGTCCTGGGGTAAGCGGGAGGAAAGACAGAGCAACAAAAATTATACATAAAGAAATCTGTGACATTTTTCTTTTTACCTTTTAACTGTATATAGATTCACTTTGGAGTACTAGTATATTAGCTTGATCCTAACCTTAAAAACCATCTCTACTGTTTTATAGAACACCATCAAGAAAAAATAATATAAAATCTGAAAGTGATATTATGAGGTAATTTAACCCTACCCCTTTGTTTTATAAATGAAGATAATGAAGAATGCTACTTGTTCCATGTTATACTGCTTGTTAGTTACAGAGCTGACTAACTCTACGTTCCCTCAGTCCTGGTTCATCATTTATAGCTCCCCAGCTGCTCTGACGTTCAGCTGGCATAGACCAGTAAGCACATCAAAAAAGGAACATTTGATTGCTCCTTGCTATGGTGTAGAAGACTAATAACATTTTACATTATCATCATCATGATGCTGAGCTCTTGCTCCTAGACTCTCCCAACCCAATTCCTCATTTAAAACACAAACAGATGACAGTGAGGAAACAAATCCTAACTGACTGAGTAGTAGGGAACAAAGCCAATTTTCTTTCCATTCACGGCTCAGAGGAATCCTGGGTGAAGACAACTCTGTGACTAACTTCTGGCAAGAGCTGATCCAACCTCACATTATTTACCTTCTTATTCATTTCCCTTAGAGAAAGAGCAAGCATTTCAGAAGAAAAATAAGCTTAATGACCAATTAGTACAATCTACACACTTTAAAGATTAAATAAACCCCAAGGGCACATAATGATTCCAGGGGCCCTGAGACCAGTATTTACTAAACCAGCTGTTAACTAGAATGCGCTTGAAATTCAGATTTTGTCATTCCTGCTAAATAGCAGCTTTGTAGATCCAAAGAAACACGGGGAATACAGAAACAAAAATGATTAATGAAAAATTTGAGAAACAGATTGGTGAGAACAGGTAATAAATGTGGGTTATTTTCAGAAAAAGAAAGACTTGATAGTCTTTACATATGTGAAATTTTATAGGTGGTGATATGGATTTGTTTTCTAATTGTAGAACTAAAAGGAATAGGCAGTTTACAAAAAAATAAATAAAAGGTCTTGAGTACCTATTGAGGATTGTCCAAGGAAAAACAAAATTACACAGAAAATAGAGTCTGTCTGTCGAAAATGACTTGTTGGCATTCCAATGTGAAAACCAGAAGGGCAGCTAATGTCCCAAAGTAGGTTTATGCAATATTCCCCCAAAATTTTCTTTTCCCATTTTATATTTTCTTTCAAAACTCATATGGTAGCCCTAACTGGTTTGGCTCAGTGGATAGAGCGGCAGCCCCGTGGACTGGAGGGTCCCGGGTTCTAGTCTGGTCAAGGCACATGCTCTAGTCTGGTCAAGAGCATGTGCCTTGATTGCTGGCTTGATCCCCAGTAGGGGGCGTGCAGGAGGCAGCTGATCAATGTTTCTCTCTCATGGATGTTTCTAACTCTCTATCTCTCTCCCTTTCTCACTGGAAAATCAATAAAAACATATATAATAATAAAAGCATAATATGCTAATTAGACTGGACAGCCAAACAACCTTCCAGACGAAGCCGAGGCTGCGAGGGCCGAGCCCCTTGCGTGAATTTCGTGCATCGGCCTCTAGTATTAAAATAAAATAAAATAAAAGACGTACTGATTAAAAAAAACAAAAACAAAAAAACTCAAGGAAGAAAAAAACCCTTCATCTGATACATTAGAATGCTATGCTTAGAATTCTATACTATATTCAAAAGAATGAAAATATCTACAGCAACTTACATGTTAAGATGTCCACATATATCAAAGTAACAAGATATAATTTTGCAATATGTATAATATAATCACTTTTTTGTAAAAAAGTGTTTTAAGAAGTTGTGTGCATGACATTAAGAGTGTGTATCTATGCCCATTCATATGTATGAGCATATGTTTACCACACATATAAATGTTGTGGAATACAGAAAATAGTTTATCAAAATATGTAGCAAACTGTCATTGGTCATCACACTCTGGGGAGTACGATATCGAGTATAGGTTTTTCAGATTTTATTTCAAATACTTTTAAATTTTTTGAAATTATACTGAAGTACACTTTGAGGTTATAAAGACCAATAAACATATTAAGTCTATAAGACATACTTATGGAGAAAATTTCTAAAGTACAAGTAGCCTTTTAAACTACACCCAGATTTGTTGCCTCCCACATAACTCATTTCATACCTTACAGTGAGAGAAGGTCACACTATACTGGGCATCCTTGGACTGTGGGGAAGGCACCTCTGGGTCCACTACTGGGGCAGCCACTGTGGACTCACACTGGTCCCAGAATGTGTATTGACAGAAGACAAAATTCGAGAGGTTTAAGGGCAGCCCAGTTGCTTCTTTAATTTTTACCTGAAGAGACAGATTTTTAAAAATGCAACTATAACTTCCATAAAGAAAACATTAAACTATGCATTCTTTTCTTATTTCAACTTCCCCAAATTTAAGATTAAGCGATGAAATAATCAGTCATCCACCTGACATCTGAAAATATTTGGCACCGCTTCATTAGGGTTCTATCTGTAATGAAATCTGTACCGTAGTTCTATAACTAGCATATAAACTTGGCAACAAATACATACAATGCTCTAAAATTTTCTTAGTAATTGAGTTTCTGATATAGATAAAACCTTTACTAGAAAAGTATGCTTCAACAAACAACATACACTCCTTGCATGCCAAATACACAGCCTTTTGAAATACCACACACAGGTCACCAGAAAGCATGCTATACTTCTGGAAAAAGGACTGTTCATCATTGTATTTATTGCCAGAAAGTTTATCTTCTACTAAGCTCTGTGAAAAACTCTTAAAATTTTCTATGAAATTGTTTTGAATTAAGAAGTCATTTTTCTGAGCCTCCCATCACTGTCCTCTCACCCGGCATGTCAGTTTTTTGACTCGGTGAATGACTTCCCCACTGCTGTCTACGACTTCAAGACTCCCACTCTCGCTGGAGTTCTCTGAGGAGTCGTCTTCCACCACGCGCTCTGGGACAGCCCCTGTGACGCGCATCACTTCCACGTGGAGACGCCCTGCAACCTGGGTCAGGGGACCAGAGGACGTGGGGTTAAAAGGCATCGTGGACAACACAGACGGAGACAGAAAGTATTCTACAATATCCCGATGAGCAGCTACACAGCTATCACTCGGCCATCTCCAGCAAGGAGGAGCTCAGCACTCCCGGACCCAGTCCTTTCCACGCTTGCCCCTCCAATCATCCTGCCTGACTCTTAGCCAAATTTACCTGCCTGTAACTTGCCTTCTGGAGTCATCTTCATTCTTACCCTTCTTGTACAGGATAGCCAACAGACAGCTTAAAGACTACTATCATATTTTACCTGGAGTCACCTATTTCCCATGTGTATATATATTAGTTCACTTACTCATGCTATCAAATACCTGGCCTCTTGGGAATACCAAAATAAAGACGCAGACTCTGCTGTCAGGGCACTCAGTCAAGTGGGGAAAGACAGAGAAGTAAAAGCCCAATAACAACAGTGTAGACTAGCTGCTACAACAGAGATGATGTACCGGGTGTTATGGAATAAATTTATCACCTCAACAACTATTTGCCAAGAACTGACACCGTGCCAGGAACTGCGCTAAGTGTTGTATTGACAACAGTGAAACAAACAGACGTGGTCACCGGGCTCGGGGAGTTTCTATTCTCCTGGGAGTAGAGAATGGGTTGTCATTCCCACTGGAGCTGAGGGGTGAGACCTACTCCAAGAGAAACAGCACACACAGAGCCAGGGAGTTAGAAGGAAACAGTTCCTTTAAAATGGTTTTTTCAAAAAATGGGCTTAAAATATCCTCACTATCCTGGTGGTTCTCAGAATCGATGCTAGTTTAATAGTATCTCTCTTAAAGTTGTTGCAGAGAAACAAATCAAAATTGTTGAAATTTGCATTCCCAGAGTTGTAATTGGCCAAGTTATCTTTTATACAACAGCGTAAGGTTGTAATCACTGCAGCTGTGAAGGGTAACACATGTTCTGGCCGAGCCACTGTCATCTTAAATAATGAGCTTGTTTTTAAACGTAGCTCAGACCCAACTTCCACAGCAATGTGCACTGGTGCCAGGGACCTGGGAGATAGTGGCTGATGGTATTTGGCAAGGCAGACAAATATGAGGAAGTAGTAAGAAGGAGGGAGTGAATAAGAGAAATCAGAAGATAGTGATTCTTAAGCTTTTTTCAAATGCTTTGTGAGAACCTAATACATTTTTAAAAAAATATATTTTATTGATTTTTTTACAGAGAAGAAGGGAGAGAGATAGAGAGTTAGAAACATCGATGAGAGAGAACCATCGATCAGCTGTCTCCTGCACACCCCCTGCTGGGGATGTGCTCGCAACCAAGTTACATGCCCTTGACTGGAATCGAACCTGGGACCCTTCAGTCCACAGGCCAAAGCTCTATCCACTGAGCCAAACCAGTTAGGGCGAATCTAATACATTTTTAATATAATTTCAGGGGATTCCTAGAACTCTAAAGCCCTCCATGGACTCTAGCTTAAGAACCCTGACTTAGCCATTGGATCCCTTTGCCACAGGAGTTGTGCCCATTTTTAACATGAGAAAAAGCAACTCCAGCCCACTGGTCTTCCAAAGCAAAATGTTCATGGGGGGTTGAGGGGGGTAGGGGGTGTTACGACATGTAGAAGGTAGGCTATGTACTTGCACACCACAACTGGGAATCTAGGGTTGATTTTCTAGGTTTGCTTTAGGCAGAATGGCATCCTATTCTAACTAAGCCTGCTCTAAATATAACAAAAAATAACCTTGCATGTTATTGAAGGACAAACTAGGAAATAAGGATATGGTTAAACTTAAAATTAAAACATCAGTTGATGGAATGGGAAAAATAAGAAAGTCTGAACTTGAACATTTTCTGAAATGTCTTAGGCCTACATAAGGCCATTTTTCTAAATAACTGAAATATGAGAGTTTAAAAGGGGGTAACAATCCTGGCTGGTTTTTCTCTGTGGTTAGAGTGCCAGACTGAGGACCAAAGGGTCCGGATTCGATTCTCGGTCAAGGGCCCAGGTCAGGGTGTGTGCAGGAGGGAACCGATCGATCTCTCCCTCTCTCTCTACCCCCCCCCCCCCCCGCTTTCCCACTCTCTCTAAAAATCAATGGAAAAAATATCTTTGGGTGAGGATTAACCAAAAAATAATAAAAGGGGGTAACAATGGGATAATGAAGCTTGTTTCCTTTGAATATTTTGGGTTTCAAATCTTGTAAAGACCACTTAGAGGCCAGGAGGGAACTAGAGTATCACAGAGGGAAGAGGTTAAAAGAAATGAATGCGGGGCACAGAGCAGAATCTGGTTTCCAAAGATTTCTAATTTGATGAAAACAAAAAACTTACGAAACAAAAATATAAAATGTGTTATAATATTCTTAAAACCATGACTTAAGGTTGATAGTTTCTATTGATATTAGTAGAGAAAAAAGAATGAGGATTGTGACTCTTTTGCCTAGTTTCTGAATCAACCTCAAGAACTTAAATAGAAAGACAAAACAAAACAAAAACTTGAACCACCATCATTTTCTCTGACGCTGGCTTGTCCTTACCTCCCCCTGCTGGCTGATGATAGGAACTGCATACTGAAGTTTCACATCACAATAGAGACACTCCAAAAACACATTAGCCACCCCGATGAGGTTGTGATTCTCTTGGGCTTCATAGAAGGGGTCACCTCGTTTCCCATAAAGTCTCTTTGCCTGAATGATAGGAGAGGCACGTAGGCAGCAGAGAAAGAAATAACACATCAAAATGAAATAAAATGATTTAAAACTAGCATTAACAATTTTTTAAAAAGCATTTATTCTAACAAATTTAAAAAGTAAATTAGAATCACATCACATAAATAAAACAAAATTAGCACATTGTTAGTTGGGGAACTAAGTGATATCGGTGTAGAGGATCCTTCTACAGTTATTGCCTCATCTTCCCTATCACACCCCACTTGCAGCCTGCTTCATTTCACTCCCCATGCTTCGCCTCATTTCCTTCACCAAATCGTTTTTTATTAATAATGCCCCAAAAGTGAAATTACGCTCTCTAAAGTTATTCATAGGAATCTACCCAGTCGTGATCACAGCTTGGGGAGCATGAACATATGCTAATGAATATAAAATCCGCACAGACTCCATCCAGCTGACTTCTCACAACACTGACGCAGCAGCACAAATTCACTTAAAGCAGCACTTTCACTTAAAATGTAGTAAAAAATGCAGCCAAGTAAGAATGCACTCTTCATTTGGTTCTACCTGTGTAGGGACCACATGTTATGTTACTGATCCAACTTAGCATTCCTTTCAAGATCACTTTTACTTTACTTTTTTAATCTACATGTCCAGAGCACCAATACAATGATTGTCAGGTGTGTGCACATGAGTGTGCATGTCTGTGTTCTGACAATTAAAATCATTTATACTTTCTGCTTCTAACATGACCAAGTCTCCTTTACATTTTATCTTTTTTACCTCGGGAACTTTTTCCTTCCATTCTTGATAAAGGTCTCTCATATCAATTAATCTATTCTCCAGCTTCTCAATGGTCCAAACTTGCGTGCCTTTCCCTTTCCTCCTCACTTGAATAGCTGGCTCACTCACTATTGCTCCTCTCTGCAGAACGAAGGAAAGCAAAAGCAAAACAAACTTGTTATAACTTTTTGGATTGTTAAAGCAATACACATTATTGTAAAGTAGCAAGTTTAAGAAATATAATATATACAAACGATGAAATTCTACCACCTACAGAATACTTTGGTTTACTTTCCATCTTTTATGTATATCAAGGCACACACTTAATTTTTATCAAAAGCAGAACCAAACAAAATATAAATTTCCTATTCCAATTCTCTCTCTACAGTTTTCATGTTATGGTCATCTTCTTGTGTCCACAATTCTTCATAAATATGAATTTATAGGTAGCACAGCTACCCATTATCTGGATGGACTACTTATTTGACTATTCTACTGTTCAATATTATGGCTGTCTCACATTTTTGCTATTATAAAGGACACTATGATAAGCATCCTTATACAAAAAGCATGTTTACGCTTTAAGTTCACTTCTATGACCATGGACTGAGGACACATTTCTCAAAGGAGAAGAACTTGGTCAAATGACCACAACCCAGAAGACCGATGAGACACTCCCTCACTCATTTCTGGTTTGACAATGAATGGATGAAAAACTATTCTTTTTCAAAGTTTCTCCTTAAAGAGAAAAATTTTCAAGTTGAACTGATGGGAAACATCCAAATGGTTGCAGAGTGCTCTGTGAATGTAAAGACAGTTCGCATACCAGTCTTCCTTTCTTATAGAATTAATTCTGAAACTGATACTGCAACAAAACATACACCTAACCCTCATTTCAGAAGGGGGCGTTTATACAAAAGAGACAAGCAGGTGGGATTACTTATACATATTTCTAGTTTTAAAGAAAGCATTTAAATTAGCAACCCCTTCAGGCCACCCAGATTCTCATATTCTGATCATCACATATCTAAGGGCATATATACAAGTGAAGGTCTGCAGCAGAAGTTTCAAGAAGAATGAAAACTCTGGCTCACTTGCGGATCTCCTTGGGGAGGTTATCTTGGAGGTCAGGTTTACAGTCCATCTTACAGGATTCACTAATGCACACCTTGCTCTCATTCTCACCTTTCTATTGGCACTGAGGTTTGTAGCAGGGATCTGCAGAGTCACCTGGTAGTCAGTGAGTTTGCTCATTCCTCGGCTAAGAAGTTTGCCTCCCTCACAAGGTGT